CCCACCTACATTGGGAAATTTTTTTTTTTTTTTTTTTGGTCTTTGGTTTCTTTCTTTCTTCTTTTTTTTTTTTTTTGCATTGGGAAATTTGAGAGACATATTACTTAAAAGATTATTCTGATAACTAGATGAACAACAACAACAACAACAAAAACCCTCTTAAAACCAAGTACTTTATGCCCAAGAGAATAAAAGCATGTGTACATACAAAATCTTATACATGAATGCTCATAGCAGCATCTACACTAATAAAAGAGAAACATGGTAATTAGCGTATGACCGCTACCCTTCCCATTGGCTAATCAGCATATCCTTATGCAAATTAACTGTCAGCAAAGATGGCGGCCGGCAGCCATGCACTGAAGCGAACAGGGAGGCTTCCTTGCTCCAGTGACTGCGGACTCCAACGTTCCCCGCCTGCCGCTGCCGGCCTCTCAGCTGCAACTCTAAGCAACTATGTTGCAAATATAGAAGCTAAACAAAACCCCAGAAACCGGCTTTCAGTCAGCCGGGCTTCAGCCAGCCGGACTGCAACATTGTATCAAATACAGAAGGTAAAGGCCAGAAACCTGCTTTCAGCAGCGGCCTCAGAGCTAAAGCTGGCCCAGAATAGAAAAAAAAGAAAAGAAAAAAAGGAGCAGTTGGGAGCTTCAGTCACCCACCAGCCTGAAAACGGCCCTCAGCCCCTTAGCCAGACTGGCCAGGCACCCCAGTGGGGACCCCCACCCTGATCCAGGACACGCTTCAGGGCAAACCAGCCGGCCCCCACCCGTGCACCAGGCCTCTATTCTATATAGTAAAAGGGTAATATGCCTCCCGGCACCGGGATCAGCATGACAGGGGGCAGCGCCCAAACCCCCTGATCGCCCTGCGGCTCTGTGTGTGATAGGGGGCGGGGCCACAACCTCCCTATCTGCCCTGCTCTGTGCCTGATAGGGGGGAGCTCCCCAATCCCCTGATCACCCTGCGGCTCTGTGTGTGACAGGGTGCGGCGCCCCAACCCCCTCCCCCCCACGGGCCCTGATCTGTGTGTGGCGGGATAGAGCCATAACCTCCCCATTGGCCCTGCCCTGAGTGTGACAGGGTGCAGCGCCCCAACCCCCTGATCCACCCTGCTCTGTATGTGACAGGGGGGAGCTCCTCAACCCCCTGATCGGCCCTGCTCTGTGCCTGACAGGGGGGAGCTCCCCAACCCCCTGATCGACCCTGCTCTGTGTGTGACAGGGTACGAAGCCCCAACCCCCCTGATGGGCCCTGCTCTGTGAGTGACAGAGGGCAGCGCCCCAACTCCCTGATCGGCACTGCTCTGTGAGTGACAGGGGGCAGTGCCCCAACCCCCTGATTGGCCCTGCTCTGTGAGTGACAGGGGGCAGTGCCCCAACCCCCTGATTGGCCCTGCTCTGAGCCTGACCAGGGGCTGCACCTAGGGATTGGGCGTGCCCTCTGCCACCCGGGAGCAGGCCTAAGCCAGCAGGTCATTGTCTCCCGAGAGGTCCCAGACTGCGAGAGGGCACAGGCCAGGCTGGGGGAC